CATTTTAAGGAATTGCAGGGGGGGGGGTTTCTTGCAGAATGTTTTTTTTTTAATTTACAAAACGTGATTGTTGGCCAGAGCATTAGTGCTTTTTATCTGCAGTCTTTTTTATGAGCTTTAAGGAGTTTTTAGTCTGCTTTGCTTGTCACATTGCAAACACCTAGCTTAAAAGCATTGGGGGGGGGAAAAACTTAGTAGATAGGAGCTTATGGTCAAAAAAGTGCAAAAAAGCAATAGCTAGAAGAAATTGTTGACAATTTCTGTAGTCTTTCCTAGTTGTGATCAAATGCAGCCTATGGATGGCCTGTTTTATACCAAAGATGAAATGACACCCTACCACAGTCCAGAAGATAGAAGGTTATTTTTTTCTTTTCTTTTTTTCTTATTTCTTTTTAAACAAAATCTTTATTTGACCAATATGGCCGGACCAGTTGTTACCTTTGTGTATTGTTTAAACTTTCTTCCACTGGTATTTTGCATTCTATGTACTTAGGCTTCTAATCAAAAGTTCTGATTAGTTGGTACTTAATAGCACTTAGCAGAATTTCACAGCATGAAGAAGATTTAAAGCGCCAGCTATTCAACCCGGGTGTGTTTTAACTTTGCTGCGCTTTTCTGCTGCATTATTGGTTTCCTTTTGTACTGAAACAAGAGTCTTCCTTCTTTATACCATCCCGTGTTTTGTTTTGTTTTTGTTTTTGTTTTGTTTTTATTTTGTTTTTGTTTTGTTTTTGTTTTTTGCCTCCTCTCTCCCTGTGTTAGCTTGCAGTGCTGTGAACCAGCCATCATCATCTGGATGGTGTGTTTGAATCACTTAGAAGAGGCCACTGAAAATGGTTAATGTTTTTCTTTAACTGTCCCAACCAAGATAAAAGTTGAAAATGGCTTGTGTTAATTCTTTCATACAAGCATGAAGTTAACAATCACTTTATACTAACTGGATTTCTGTTGTCTTGATATGTTTACTGACAATCAGCGATTAGTTTAATTAGGCAAAAGACAAGAGTGACTATGTTGAATCAGTGCGAACTTATTTTTAAAAGATAAAAGAATATATGGAATCTATACATGGAGGATCCAGGAAAATACCATCTCCCACCTCATGGTGGTTGAAGAAAGACTGTTTTTCCAACAGCTATGGGGGAAACATTTTACAGTAAACATTCCATCCATTTCCAACTTACTTGTTCTTTGCTAGATGTGGCAGTCCAGGAGTCATCTCTTTCAGACAGCACTATTTAAATGAAGAGGAGTTAAGTGTAAATATACATGTGCCCATGGAACCTGCAGAGGTTCCTAAAGGCTTCTGCCCTCAAATTAGAACTGCTATTTATGAATGAGGTAGGGAAGTACAATATTTCTTTTTGAGACCAGGCAGAAAGATCTGGCAAACGAAGCACTTAAGGTGGTCCTCCATTAAAGAAAAAAATAAAGAGTTCAGTGCAGTGACTGTAGTGTATTAAAAACAGGGTAACCATAGTGAAAAGTGAAAACAAAATGTTTTAAAAATAATAAAACAGTTTTTTGGGGAGGGAGGGGGGATCAAGGAGATTCAGCTCACCCAGTTTTACTATCAAGGACACACTCAACATGACTCCTACATAAGCCCCAGTGAAATAACACTAGGTTTGGGCAGGAGCATTATTGTGCACAGAATCCATGGTTACCTTTAAATGATTTTTTTAAAAAATTGAGTATTTTTTTAAGAATACTAAAAACGTTTCCTTATTTTTTATGTAGTATTTCGTGTTTGGTGGGGTTGGGGGTTGGGTAAGCCCCCAAAATGGCTGCTAAATGCAAACATTAAAAAGCAAAAAAAGAAGAAAAAAGGAAAACAGGATGTCACCGGGCTGGCATAATGAAAAGGACCTGGTTATTTGAGATGCATGTAGTTTTCAGAAACTATATAGATAATTCAAAGGACCACAGCACAGAGAAAAAGATTCTAATATTACAGTAAAGACCTCTAGCTTCTTCCTTTTTTTCATGTGCTTTGCCAATGCTGTTTACTTTCCGAGAGCATCCCTTGATTTTTCCTCCTCGTTTTCATTTGGAATAGGTGTGCCTGTTGAAAGGGGTATGAGAAAAATGATCAAGCCAGCCTGATTTTCTTCCTTTTTATGCTTTATCTCTTTGTGTGTGTGTATGTAAATATAGAGGTTATCCTCCTGTGGCACAATTCTGTTTTAATACGAAAGAAGCATGTGTTGTGGGTTGGTTTGTTTTTTAATTGTCTCTATGAATTCTAGTTTGGTGCAAAGAATAGTCTCACTGCTGTCGACAGCGAGGCTGTAAGGTAGCTACCGTGTGGCGGATGGATATGGCTAAGGTACCTCCTTGTTTTGGTTCAGCCCTCTGCGGTTTTCTTTATACTTTGGGTCATTTTCCTTTGGGTCTGTTTCCCAAATCAGGTTCAATGCTCAGCGTGGGATTTTCCATTAAAGTCAGGCATCCTCCTCTTCCTCCTTGCTGGTAACAATGAGTTCATCATGATCACCTCAAGTGTCTGAGAACTTTATATGTTTTAATTCTTTGACATCCTAGCAGTTCTATCATTTTGCAAATAAATAAAAAGGTAAAGTCTCTTTTGAATCAAGTGTGACTCTTGGCAACACGTCCTTATTGGGTTTTGTTTCGTTTTTTTTTTTTTAATGAGGAACATCGTTTGCCTTCTTCTGGGATATTGTTATTTTTGTTTTACTTCCCAGTCTTTCCTATACCATAGTATTTCCTGATGGATGCCCATCCAAGTACTAAGCAGGGCTGTTCCTCCTTAGCTTTCTGAAATCAGCCAAAGTCAGCCAGATGTTACTGTCTATCTGGCCATTACAAGTGGAGGAGAAAGTGATCTACTCTTCCAATAAATTGTTCATTTTGATAGATTCCCCCTTTTAATGTATCACCAAGTTAATAATTGATAGTCTGGAGACAATTAACTATGTTTGAGCCAAACTGCTATAATCTAAATTTGAACACACCTCAAGAAAACCAAAAGCTGATGCTTGATTTCAAATTTAGTTTTATTAACCGTTTTGTTCATTTTATAGCTAAGAGACTTTATAACAGCATTAAAGGTGCTGCATAACTTGTATTCAGTATTTGCAAGATGTATAACACTGATGTTCCAATGGGATTATATGATCTAAACGATGTCAGTGACAAAGGTGGAGAAATTATTTTTCATCTCCTGGGAAAAATTTGCATATATAAATCTGCCCCCAACTTGGGATAAAATGTATGGAGAGATTTCTATGGATAATAGACTGGTTCCTAAGTCATTACAATTTTATGTTGACAGATCTAACCTTTCAAAAATCAAAAGAAGTTTGATCATTTAGCATGACCATTGAAAATTCCCCTTTCTGCTCAGCTATACAACTCTGTATGTGATGCCACAATCTAGAAAGATTTGGAATGTTCCAGAATTCAAAAGCAGTTTGCAGTTAGAGGAGAAAGTCTAGTGGTCAAAGAGCATATGGAGATTACAGGCTTTCCAGCCCTAATTTTAGAATATCTATTTCAGAATGTCATCTTCAGTCTCTGCATAGTGAATGTATTTTCTATTTTTAACCCAATACCACCTTAACAGTGAAAAGGACAAGTTCCTTTAATGCTACCTAAAAGCATTTCATAATTTCCCACAATGCTAAAACCACTGAAAATTATTCTGTGCCTCTACATGTCCATGTTTTATTCCATGAATATCATTTCTGGAATCAAGAGTTAATTCCTTGGGCTCCATGCTTCTCTGCCCAGATGATACATATTTTTCCTTGTCCGAAATCATATGGAGAGATGCTTCCAGTTGTACACCTCTGCCCTTTGAAAGTTTTAATAGTCTCATCCCAGTGTGGGTCATGACACTAAAGAGCAATGCAAACAAAGCTTCTACTTGTGCAGCAGAATTTGGTAGGTTTTCTGTGTAACCAGTTTACCTTCCTGTGTTAAACCCCTCCTCAGCTTCACCAAGTTGTGGGAAGGGGTAGCTGGTTTAGAGATAATATGATGAAAGTTACCCAGTTGTGATTTATTGCTTGTAAGACAACCCAGAGCTAGATTGCTGAGAAATGGGTTTTGGAGAACTAATACACCATTGGGAGAATGTCAGAAGAAAACCCAGGTTAGGCTTCAATCTCAACAAGATTCTGCAAACCTTTCCTCAGCTTTCTTTTTAAGTGATGTACGTTTAATCCAAGTATTTGAGTATGACCATTGACTAGGGTCAGAGGTGTTAAGCAAGCAAGATAGATAGATACACACACACAGATATACAGATATATATATATTTCAAAACATCATTTTTGGCAGTCCTCAATGATATCAAGGGATGTTTAAATTTCTTCTGAAAGTGATCTTCTTGGTGCATTCCTGTTTACATGGTTCTACTTTTTCCAAGAGGCATAGCGAGAAATGCCCAGTGGGAATGGACAAGTGTCCTGGCACATGATCCACCACATATAAAGCCTTGCCGGCTTGTGCCAAATACGTAAGCGTTGAGGGCATGTGATTTCACTAGCTGATTTCTCCAAGGATTTCATTAATTCCCAACTCATAGCTGAGCAACCCAACCCAGGGTACTCAGGAGTACAGAGGCTTTTGAAGTTGGGACTCCATAGCCACTTCCACTTCACCCAGGAACACTCTGTTTGGGGCCAACCATTAGCAGAGCTTTCAAAGAGTACTTTCCCCTCCAGCTGGTAAACATTTTCTCTTGTAGTAGAGGAACTTTCTTGTCCTATCAAAACCTTGTCCAGTTAGC